CTTTACTTGCATATTTTTACTGTCTTTCTATACACCGTGTATATTTTTTTAATCTAAAAGTCAGGTTAACACATATTACTCATATTAAATATATTTAGTAAAATAGATACATAACTCAAATTATCACTTTTATTGAAATTGAAAAGAAATCAAGTCGAAACCCACACAAATTGAGAGTTATTTTTGACAAAGAAGAATTGAAGTAACATCGTCTTTATTTCTTTTCAATTTAGAAAGAGTATTAAATTTCACTTTAGTTTTGAATAAATAATTCCTTTATTTTGTGTCTGAACTCTATCGTTAGACCTCAGTTTATTTCAGATTCTGAATCTCTATATGTTTTGATTAAACAACAGAAGAAAACTGGAAGATCCAGACTCTATGTACAAATTGTTAGAACAAGAGATATTGGCATGTACACCGTGTAAATGGGGCACATATGCCGCCCGCCCCCGGGTTTCGGTTAAGTAACATATGGGGTTTCAACTCCGAAGTGTTTGAAGCATGATGCAGCTTTCAATTTGCATGTAGTGAAAAAGTCGGTTTCAGAGCGTTATGGATTTTGCCAATCCTTCTCTTGACAGTTCAGCCGACTCGCAAAAGTTACAGTTTCGATGATCTTCTTTGCTTTATTTTAAACAAGAGACCCACGGGCCTTATAGGTCACCTGAGTATTGTGTAACAACTTCCAAACAATGAACTTTGGTTCGTGTTTTAAACCAGAGGCCATGAAATTTACAATTCATAATTTTGAAAGAAGCACCATTGCTTATCATAACTATCAACTTAGATTGCTTACTCCATTTACTTAATACCCAGAGGTAGATCATAGTTACAAAGAGAAAATGCACTTCCACTTTATAACCAGTTTTGCACCTCACCCAAAGGAACCACTGAGTCCTTGGGGACACATATTTCAAAATTTTGCAAATTCATGGTTGATTAATACCAAAGAGCGGATTTCAAAGCATTAATTTATTTTCAGACTGTAACACCCCCCCCCCCCAGACCCAAGGGGGGGCATAAAAAAATAACCATTTTGCTAGATGCACCTTTCTTCATCATAAATATATATATATTTGGATCATTGGCATAAAACCCAAGAGCAAAGGAAAAGACTTTCCAAGAATTAATATATTTTCACTATATAATCAATTGAGCCCCGTCCTAACACCCATCCCCTGACCCTGGCGCCATAAAATTCAAAATTTTAAAAGAGGCCATCTTGCTCATCATAACTATGTGCTTAGTTAGTTTATTTCATACCCAGAAGCAGTGAAGAAGATTTTCAAAGAATAATGCATTTTCACTATATAATCAATAGAGCCCCTCTCTAGCACTAGAACCTCTGACCATTGGGTCATAAAATTCACAATTTTGGAAGAGGCACTCTTGCTCATCATAACTATGTACTTAGTTGGTTAATTTAATACCCAGGATCAGAGAAGTAGATTTTCAAAGAAATAAAGCATTTTCACTATATAATATATATAGCCCTTCCCTAGCACTAGAACCCCTGACCCTACGGCCATAAAATTCATAATTTTGGAAGAGGCACTCCTTCTCATCATAACTATGTGATTAGTTAGTTTATTTCATACCCAGAAGCAGAGAAGAAGATTTTCAAAGAATAAATGCATTTTCACTATATAATCAATAGAGCCCCGCCCTAACACCAGAATCTCGGACCCTTGGGTCATAAAATTGACAATTTTGGAAGAGGCACTCTTGCTCATCATAACTATTTAGTTAGTTTATTTACTACCCAGGAGCAGGGAGAAGATTTTCAAAGAAATAATGCACTTTCACTATATAATCTATATAGCCCCTCCCTAGCACTAGAACCCCTGATCCTGGGGCCATAAAATTGACAATTTTGGAAGAGGCACTCTTGCCCATCATAAATATGTACTTAGTTAGTTGTCCCCCGCTTGAAAAGTGGGGGCTATTAAATGGGTCTGTCCGTCCGTCTAGCTGTCCGTCTTTCTGTCTATTTGTTACGCTTTCGTTTCCACACGATATCTCGAAAACTCTTTGACCTTATTTAAAGTGACCAGATAATGGCATCAAGTAACAAATGAAATATCTAAAAACGTAAATATGTACTTCTGTTGGTGTTAAATCAAATTAGCTTACTTAGCAACCTTTAAAGAAAGGTATATCCTTTAAAGAAAGGTATATGAGTCGAGGCAAAAAGCAAAAGTCTTTCCCAATCAGTGAATTTACATGCATCATCAGACATTTTCATTATGTTCCACCAATTCATTGAAGTCACAATAAAGTTAATCTCAAGAAAAATGTAACACAGCCAGTGGCATATTATCATCATCACTAACATCATAACTGACAAGATAATTATCACTTTATGTATTGTACACAAAACCCACATTTTCTGACGCACCTGGTGTTGTTGATGTTTTATTCTTTTTTTCCAATTACCATTTCATAAATAAATTGCATCCTACAAAGAATTATTTTTAACTTTCTGATCCACCTTTTGTACTGTCTTCCATCTCCTCACGAACCGTTTCTGGCAACTTTCATTTCCTAAATCTTAGTTTTCAAGTCTGTTTATTAGAGTTGATCCATTGATTGGGATTTTGAAGATGTATTTGCTGGAAAGAACTGCTGAGTGACATTAGAAAGTGTGCGCTTAATTGGATGTGTTCTGCTCTAGGAAACCCGAAAAAAAACATTATATCATAAAGTAAAATAAGAGTTGCACAATAAATTGTTTCAAATTGTGCAGAGATTTCCTAGAGGAGACCTACCTCAATCGCATGCCGTAGGAAGGTACATAAAATTACCTACTGACCCTCAGACCGGCATAAAATTAACTTTCAAGCAAAAGCCATCTTCCCAGGAGTGTTTGGGGCTATCGCCGCGTCCCAAGGTAGGACACTGCGCATTTCAGGTAATGAGGAAGAATTCGTGAATAACAAGCAATGCCATACTATTTAATGTGTAACCTGTTATCGACGCATATTTCTCTATGCTTAACATAGTCGCCAAATGGCCTGGATCAACAGAGGACGCAAGATTTTCGAGAAAAGTGGCATAAATGTCACTTACCTAGGCGACGTTGGTTATCTTTTTAAGAACTAGTTTCTGGCTTAATTTATAATCTTGTATGTAATAAAGAAAAGGATTTACAAAAAAATCATCCGTCAATTTGAGTGGTTTAACTTGTAAGATCCAATTCATTGTCAAATCTTGACCAGCCCAATAAATTTATTGTCTGGTACAAATACATATATAAAAGTATACTGGACAAAATAAATTAGGGATCATTGACCATTTCATTAATTAAAATTAAACCTTTGTACGCACTTGGCAGAATCTATGAAAAACAAACGCTTACATTATTTTTATTCAATTTTAATCAGAAATCTCGATTTCATTTCATGAACTTTAGTTAATATGCACAGAACAACTTGTCACTGAATGACGTGAAAAAATCTGACAGGAAAAAAACAAATTGAAATTTACAGAACATGTCCAAAATTTATTCAGAATGCCATCAATACTCTGTGTGACCGTCATTTGCTCTCAGAACAGCCTGGTATCCATGTTGCATACTCAATATGAGATTCACAATGTTCTGTTGTGGGAGATTGTTCCATTCTTCTCTCAGTGCGTTTTCAAGGTCATCCAAAGTCTGTGGTTGGATTGGACGTTGTGAAAGTTGATGCTGAAGTTGATCCCACACAAGCTCGATGGGATTCAGGTCCGGTGAGACAGCAGGCCACTCCATACGCTCAAAAGTTTCCCTCTGTAGATACTCCTGAACCAAATGAGCACGATGAGGACGAGCGTTATCGTCCATCAGAATGAAATTTGGCCCAATTGCTCCTGCAAACAACAGGGTGCAGAATGTCATCTCTGTATCGGAGAGCAGTCAGTGTCGTCCCTGATGCCTATCATGTCAGTGCGATCCGCGAGAGAGATCCCACCCCAAATCATCACAGAGCCACCCCCAAACCGATTGTGTTAGCCACCAATGCCTGGCTGTATCTCTGTCTGGCCTCTCTCCACACACGCTTACGACCATCGTGAAAGTCAAGGCAGAATCGGGACTCATCTGTGAACAGTACCGGCTCCCACCCTCGTCTTTCCCAATTCACATGTTTACGTGCAAATTCCAAGCACGCTTGTCGATGACGTGGAAGAAGTCTGGGGCGCACTACTGGCCTGTAATTCCTGAGGTTAGTAGCATGAAGTCTGTTTCTCAAAGTCTGGGGTGTAATGTGCAAGCCTGTGGCAACATTGAACTGACGAGCCAGTCTTGGGGCTGGTAGAAGACGATGTCTCCGAGCCAACGTAACGATGTACCGTCTTGGCGTTGCGTTGAAGCACGGGGTTGTCCACTCCTTGCCTCTCATTGACTGTACCAGTCCCCTGAAATCGTGTCCAGAGTCTAGATATGACACTCTGGGACACATCAAACCGGAAAGCAACATCTCGCTGGGTTTGTCCAGCTTAAAGCATTCCGATTGCTTGATTGCGCTCATTTGCCTGTAAATGACGTCTTTGTGGTGGCATACCTCTAATTAAGTCGCGTTCAGTTGCTGATGACCTTTCCAATAACGTAGTGATGTCTGCTGACCGATTGTCTGCATTACACAACTACCCAGTGAGTACCTCATTTTTATCGTACGGCTCATGGGCACGTGCAAATTGTGAAGACGCATTCAATGAACCGGATTCAAGCAACAAAATGTTTTTCTCAATCAATGTTTTTTTGGTATTTCACTAATTGTTTCTCTCAAAAACTTTATCAAACCAAATGCCCAATATCCCTAACTTTTTTTGTCCAGTATATAAGGGAGGAAGTAGTTATTTGAAGCAGATTAAGAAAGGATTCACAAAGCTTTATTCAGAAACAAACTTGAGAGTGATATGATAGAGAATGCCCACAAAATTGTTCTATAGGTACTTCATATTTTGAAGTCAAAATTTGAAGAAGAAGAAAAAACAGCTACAATCGTCTTTTGTTTTAATTTATATTATGAAGTGGTGGTTGTTGGAATCGTGGAACTCGGATCCTCATTTCTACCTCGGCCGAAACATCTCCTCCACTTTTCAAGTACCTTCGGATGAAAGAGAAATTGGATGAAAAGAAACAGGTGGGCATTCATCATGTTGTTGACAATATTCAGACGGATTCCAACAAAGTCTTTTTGTTTCGAAAGATTGATTTCAAGTTGGTTACAGAAAAGACGTACCTGTGACAAAAAAAAAATAATTTACATAAGAATTAATTGTTATGTTTATGGTATTGCTTCCAATACATAACTTTTATTAACCAAGCAGTAACCCGGTAGTTTTCTTGTGAAGATATGTCACTCGTGAAATTTGTTAAATCAAGGATTTTTTTTAGAAGTATATTTTGGATAAGTACTCACATAGTGGGACTCAAAATCGACGAGAAAATAGGGTCAGTGTGCATCTTACTGACTTACTAAGTTGACCTTTTTGCACTTAAATTTAAACTCTTTGGTTAATTACTTTAACCTTTACCATATTTTATCAGATGATACAATGGCAATAAATATTATTTTATTTTACGTAAAATACTAGTTGTTTGAATAATATTAATCATTGAACAAATCTTGAAAAGTAATGCGCGTAAATTATTGTGTGACATTTTTGCACTAAAAACATAATTTTGGGTCAATAAAAAACTAAATAGGCAATAAATTTTTTTCTTAAATCAAGCTTTTTACGACTTAAGCGCTGATCAGTCACAAGTATCGAGTACTTTAAAATAATGAAAAAGTTGGAGTCAGTCATGTTTATTTTGAAATATTGGTCAAAATATGTGATTTTCAGGCGAAAAATGGTGTAAATTTTATCTTGACTTATTTGACATATCTTCATTTTTTTGGACAAAGTTTATTGAAGGAAGGTGTTAAACTTGTTCTAAGATTATGAATTAAGACCTACATTAAATATTCCTAGCAATATCATAACGTAAAATATTCTCCGAGTAAAAGTATGTGAGGCTAAGGTCCGTATTATATCTGCCTGAGGCGAGTGATCATGTATTACTACCAAACGATTTTTTAAAGCCCTTGTAAACGAAGTTTCGGGGGGTATATACATGTAGTTTTTTGTCGTGACCGTCAGTCTGCCTGTCTCTGTCTCTTTATCCACAAAAACCTTTATCCTTGCCCATAACTTTTGATTTCGTAAAGTCATGAATTTCATATTTCACATGTGTATTCCTTGTGACAAGACCTTTCTATGGGTATCACCGAATTTGCAGCCATGGGATTGTATAGGGTGAGTAGCCCCTCCCTTGACTGTTCAGTAGGATCCATTGTATACATCATACACAGTTTATACTAAATTATGTCCAGAAGATGTGTCAGTTCTTACTTTGAGAATGTTTTTGTCTTCACTCTGTACACCCTGTGTCAGCAGTCTTGATCTTGACCTTGGAGTTTGACTCACTTTTACAAAAAAATTTCAAACTTATACTTTGACGATATCTTCTTTTGAACAGTAGATATCAGGACATTATTCTTTATATATGCATTCTTTAGGAAAGACCTTTCATTGAACACCATAAACTCACCGGTAGACGTTTGGACCTTCGAGATTTCCGTACTTATGAAAAAACTTGAACCCTGGCCATAAAATTTGTACGTTAAGGCCTAGTGCTTTCATATTTCACGTTTGTAATTCCTGTGACAAGACCCTTCATTGGATACCAAGAACTTTGACCCTTTGAATTTGACCTACTTTAAAAAAAGCAAACCTTGATAACTTTTAAAGGGTTAAGGCTAGTGCTCTTAAACTTAAAATATGTATTCCTTGTGGAAAGACCTTTCATTTGATATCAAGAACTTTGACACTTTGACCTTGGAGTTTGTCCCACTTTTAAATTTTTTAATCTTGGCCATAACTTTTGAACGTTTAGGGCTAGGACTTTCTTCATACATGTATTTCTAATAGTTATTCTTTGTGGTAAGGCTTTTCATTGGATACCAATTACCTTGACCTTGAAGATTTGCGTACTTATGAAAAATCTTCAACCTTGGTCTACTTTTATATTTTACAATTGTATTTTCAGTGGGAATACCATACTTTGGGCACCAATATATTAAATTTGCAATTAAGAAATTTTTTTTAATTTTTCCTATGTTGCCATACGGGGGCATCAGTGTTTTACAAACACATCTTGTTTTTCATTTCAAACTGCATTTAAATAAGTCTTCCACAGGTATATGGTGACGTTTCTACATAAGCGAAAAGTTCTAAAATGGAAGGTAAAACAACATATAATCAATTAACAATAACTTCCAAATTAAGTTTAAATTGATTGTATTTATAAGTTTATGATGTATTTAATGATAGTTGTTACATAAATATCAGTTTTTGGTACTCACTAAAAGGGGTGATGAGAAGACTATGTAAACGACAGAGATTGCCACCATCATCACTATAAATTTTGTTTGATCTTTGTCCATTTTTGATCCCGTGTCGAGTGGTCGTACTTTGTTCATGCGGAGAAGCTCATATATGGCGGAGATGTTGCAGAAAACGATGATTGCCATGCAAGTAAATCCTACAAAAACGTTAGAAAACAATAATTCAAGAAGGCAGAAGGCAGAAACATTTAAATATGAAAAACACAGCAAAGTGGAACATCACCTTGCAAAATATCCCGATATATAAATTCTTGCTTGACGCTACAATTTTACAGAAAATATTTTATAGTAAGTATGACAACACCTTTCATCAAAGAAAAAAAACAAACATGTACACATTTTCAAAATTCTTTTTTGCATTGGAAAGGAATTCGGATATTTGGGAATTGTTTTGTTTAAAATGTTTTTACGGCGACAATATAAATATTCTCAAAATATGCCAGCAAGCTGCTTAAAATATTTTGGAGCAGTTCTCTAACCAGCACCTAAAGTTATTGTTATTCTTAAAAAACATACAAGTATATTCCTTTCAAATTACGTTAATCTGACTCATTAATCCTTTCAAAGAATTATCTCAGATGATTCTTTATGTACAAGAGGAACATTGCCCTTTGATGTTTATATTGTTTAACATGTACATGTACCATTACAATATACTAGTATGTAAGTCCATTTAATTACTCAGTCCTGAAATAAGTACATATTTTTTAGGACGTACAAAGCATTCTTTCTTATAGCAGTATATGAAGTTTTCGCTTTAATTGAAGGATCAGATTCTGAAGTCATTTGACACTAACAGTAATATACAATTGATTAAATTACAAGAAGGAAATTAACGGATAAGTCTTTGATGATATTTGCATTTTTGTTACACCTTTTTTCTCTCCGGACGGAACTCTCATTTGATCTGTATTTTTAATCGATCGTATGCTTGTATCTGTAAAAAGCAACACATTTTTATTCCTTGTTTCATGTTGAAGCTGATCACGACTCGTACATACGATAGGTATACGCCATAATTTTCCCTACGATTATCAGGATTGGGGTATACCCTTCACAATTCTTACATTTGATCCGTAATGGCATGAATGTGGTCGTATCAGTTATTATAACACAATCCTTGTTTACAAGAGGTCCAAGGGCCACAGCGCTCACCTGAGTCAATGGCTCTGTTCTGCATATGTTTTTCTTCGATTTATTATGGAAATTTTGGATAGCCTTCTGACTATATACCGGAGCCTTATTTGAACAAAAAAATCTACACTGCAAGAGGATGCTTCTGTATTATAATTCATTATGCCTTTGCAATTTCTTTTTAATTTTTGTCCTATTAAGTCCCTAAATTGTCCTATTCTACCTCTCGGGTCAATTATCTTACATCTATTTTTCAGCTTCTCTGGTCCAGTGGATTTTGAGAAGAATTTATTTGTATATTTTAAAAAATATATTCATTCAGCTGTACGAGGGTTGTTCGAAAAGTTCGTGGACGATGTCAATATTCGTTATACTACTCACTAGAAATTTAAAATAAGCCCAATATAATATGTAGAAATATTTGTTTTCTTGATATTATTGAAAGTTTCATTCCATTCGATTTAACAGAACAATCTACAGTTAAACCGTTTCTTCACCGTAGACTTTCCTCATCCGATAAAGTCTACGTCACTCGAATACTGCCTGTACTATTTGTACACACGTGCACAACTCCCTTATGACATTTTTTTTCATTCCTCCAACATTTTAAGAGTTTATTCAGTATTATTCCTGAAATTGCATCGTTATTTGCTGCTCCGTGACGTTCTAAATTGTCATCGTTTTTGTCGTTCTCATAGAGAACTCCTCAAGTTGACGTCTTTCAACAAAGCAAATTATTAAGCCACAACTTGGAATACGTGTCGATGTAACAATTCTTTAATTCAACTGTTCAATTTCTAGGTTGTTTTTCGTTTTTACTCCATTTTACAGAGAATATGACTACAGACATTATTTGTTGTATTTTTTGTTACTTACCAAATTTTGACCTGCTCCGTGACCCGACTTTTGCATTTTTAAATCTGGATAAGTTTTGAATAAATCGTAACATTTAAAAAAAAATGGATAGAAATCATTTGAATTTATTGTTAAAATATTTCTATCAAATTTGGGTAACATATGGCGTCAAATGAAAAAAGATATGACAGCATCTGCCCTACCGTACCCCAAAGAGCCATGGTGTGAACAATTTAGAATCTGATCTACCCAATTTAGAAACCTTTAAGCTATTTGTTTATTAAGTTAATAAAGAAATGGCTAATATTAGAGTAGTAGAAGTAACAGAAGTACAAATAAATAGAGATCAATGCATTTCACCAACCTTCAAAAACAAAATAAAGGACGAAAAATCTTCCCCCAAGAGATCTGTCGTTCCAGTGAAAATCACACCAAGATTGATAGCCATAGCTGTTGACTCCCATTATAGGCAAGCATGATACGAATATCTGTAAAAGAAAAGATTCCACGGGCAAATTGTATCGTCTACTCAGACAGTAATGCTAAACATTCATCTTAGTTCATTTCAGTGCATTACATTCTTTAGTAAAATGTCAAACTACGGATGTATTTGTCAGCGCTCATTTCTGCTATCTAATTAGGAAACATTTTTCATATTCTTGGGTAATTGACGGATGAAAGATAGTAAGATGGAATATAACACACTGCGTAAATTCCTAATCCAACAACGGCACCTATGACTCTTTCTTTCGACATCAAACTACTGTACTTGAACGGATATCTCAGTGCAATAAAGCGCTCAACAGACATTAGCACCACCATAAGACGGGAAGCCATCATGAAGACTGTCTGGGAGAAACCTCTGAAAATGCAGCCATGGTATCCTCCAGAATCGCAGTAACCAAGGAAATAATTTGCAACTTGCAAACTTGCGCAGAGGGCTGAAAATATATTATTTACACCCTTATAAATATCTTTCTGTATATTTATTACTAATAAAATAAATAGTCTAACAAATACAACAATTTCAATGTTGACCGGCCTGCCAGTCCAACAGAAGAATTTTTAGACCGCAGCGTCACTGGGCACTGGGTCACAAATAATCGTTCAATATCGTCGAAACGGAAATATCCGAGGTTTAGAGTCGTTGCTACTAGTATTTGAAAGACAGAAACACGGGAAGAGTATGTTGTGATAAATAATTTTTGTGATATAATAATTTTGATTTTTTTTTCAGCTATTGTTTTATTTTTATTGACTAAGCCTAAATTTTTCCAAATAAAGTAATTGATAATACAGAGTGTATTGATAAAAGGTTAAGTGATTAAGGGTATAACAAAAAATGTAGCATTGGATTCGGGCAACATATCATTTATTCGACCTGAAGGTGAAAAAAATTATTTTGGTCTGCGGCCTCGTCCAACATTTTCGAATTCAGGTCCAACAAATAATATGTTGCCCGAATACCCAGTCAATAATTGTATATGAAGAAAACTCGAATCTTCCTTTTCATTTTACTCGTCTTCTTCACATATCGTTTGTGTCATATGATAATCCAAAATATATTCAACTGAAGGGGACCTACTGCGGATTCCATTGCCAAAATAAAATTACAGTATATCAAAATTGGAATACTTCGCGCATCATAGCAAAATAAAGCGTGTTTACTGTTTTAAAGCATTTTTTTAAATTTATGAATATAAACAAAATCATGAAATTAATGTTTGAAAAATTTGATTACCATTTTATAATTTATAATTGATTTTTAAAACGATTTTTAACTGATAGGTACATGTAGATTGACGACGTAATAGTGTATTTGACGTTATGATAAAATGAAGCTTTTACAGAAGGGGTCATAAAAATATGTTATAAAAAAAAAGTATAAAATATGTAATAATATCTCGATATTTTTTTGTATAAATCATTTATATCCGTCTTATTTTGTAGTACTCCATAAAAACGACATTTTTTTGGCATTTTGAAATGCCCCCCTCTGTAAAAAAGACGGTGAAATTTTGTGTTTCTTACAAATAATGTACAATATAGTATTACTTATCATATATTATAATTTGAACTTAAAATATGTTGTAGTATTTGTATAATTTGCTCTAAAGTGCGAAAAATTTACTATTTTCTAGAATATAATCCTATAGTAATTGTACCTGTATTTTGAGAGAGTCCCTTAAAAATACCTCATTTGTTCAATGTGGACAAAATAGACATGTCATAACGCAATATCAATTTTAAAAATTCAAGAATTTATTATTTGAAGAAAATTGTTAGTAAACGTGTTTACTGTGATGCAGAGGAAATTTGGGCTTAATTCTAATATTGATTTCAATAAAGAATTGAATTGAATAATTGAAATATTGATTGAAATTGATAATGAGAATGTGTTAATTAATATTATGGCATATGATAAACTATACAAATGTAAAACAATCCTTTATCAAAATAATTCAATTTTGTTTGTAACGCGTCATTTGATTGGTTAAAAAGTTAGCCTAAATTGTATAATCTTGTTTGCCTACGTCACAATGACATGTCAACAACGTATCAATCCGCTTGACGTTACGTTAAAAATATGAACAACTTGAAGGCATTTAAGGGAAAACTTGTCTTGTTTTATACACAGTATAATTTAGGTTGCTATTAATTCATTCCTTAAATATCATGACACATTTACAAAAATGTTTTACAATTAAAAAATCAAACATGTTCATGTATGCATATCACAGTGTATTACACTGTAACGTTACCCTCATTTATCAATAAAATATATTTACAAGCTTTGCTTTGGTTGAATAGAGGAATTTTTAGGGGAGAGGGTGGGTGGTTTTGGTCAGTGTTGAATAGATATGGAAAAATTATTAAACACTCCATACAACTATTATAGAAAAATCCCATTATTTCTCAGCAAACTGTGAAACGTGACGTAGCAAAATTTGCCAAGTTTCTCCTGGTGCTTATTGCACATTTATCACACACCGACTGCTGTTTTAATATACGCTCAAGCATTTTCTTTGTTTATTAAAAAACTGAGCCTTAACTCCAGTCCTTTAATTATCACATTTAAACAATCAGAATAATCATATTGTCACCAACATTATATTTCTATAACCATTTTGTTATTGGACATGCAATATTAACAGGAAAACTCGATAACATATTCTTATTAAGGTCTTTCCACCCTCACAATTTTAATGGTTCAAAGTACAAAAACTGTATTTATTTTCATTAAATATGGTTTAAATTTACCAATAATTGCAATAAATTTATAGGTTGCCATATTATTTAAGATGGGAGAAATAAATATAGAAAAGTCTATGGCAGCAAAAAAAGTCGTACATTTTTTTGAAAAAAGTATTATAAAAAATCATGTAAAAACTGGTTTAAATGCATAATTCTAATACTGAAAGTTCCGAAATACTTGCTACTAATAAGATACTGTTGAATTTTGAATATCAGGGAAAGTATTTTACCTTAGAAGTACAATGAAGAAAATTCTTAAATGAAGATACCTGAGAAGGAGTTACTGCCCTTGTCAATATTTTTTAAAGATTGAATTATTGATTAACAAAAGAAAATATGCACTTTTTAAATTCTTTTACTTAACAATATTTATAATTAAACCTATTGAAAAGCATTCTTCCAAAAGATATTGTTCTATTGGGTATGAATTTAAATAATAGTTTTTGCAAAAACTTATGACATCATAGGAGGATGGAATTACCTTAAGAAAAGAAAATTCATGACTAGTAATATTTATTCAGAAGCATCCTCGGGTAAGGTATATTCAAATTAAATTTGCTCAAATCATATCCTCTGAGGAAAGGAAAGTCCACAAAAGAAGATCAAACTTTTTATGAATAGTCAAAGCAATATATGAAATATTCCGAGTTGTTTAGATTCAATTGTGAATAAAATTTACCCCCCCCCTTCTCTTCCAGGGACGGGATTAATCGTGATCACCTATATATTTAGCCTTTTCAATACAAATCTTTTTTTTTTCTAACCAATGTGCCCAGGTTAGCAATATGGTCCATGGGACTCTTGTTCCTTTTTTTCATCACTTAAAAAGAAATACTCTTCAAACTTTTCCCCACTCTATTTAGTTCAATAAATTCTTCTGTGAACGGTGTGTCCTAGCGCGTCCTATACCTAAGTTCAACATTTCTATGATCGTTTGTAATTTCACGATATAACAAGGGCCCTACATCTATACATATTACAAATTGACTTTGATGTTGACTTGTGTCATGACTAATAATTAATGAATTACAGGTAATACAAGGATGATCAATTCTGCGTCTTGACAAAGATTAAACGAGGTCCCTAAACTAAGGTTGTTTTTGTTTTCGATTTCACAGATCAAAATGACTAGACATTGATAGACATTCACATTTTTCTAGCTTTTAGAAGTTTTGAACATTTTCTTTTTTTTTATTTATTATAATTGCCACTTCTGGTGATAATTGTTAAAAGTAATTTTTAATTCTCCAAAAAATATACTCACCTGCAAACAGAAAGTCACAAGAACATACAGCTATGGCAATGAATCGGGGTTGCGAAAACTGCGTTCTAAACATTGAACGAGAAATCCAAAGAATTGCAAAAAGACTTGAAGAAGAAATCCAGACTAAAAAGAAAACACCAGTATAGGCATTTGTATAATTAACAACGTGTAAGACTAGTGTACCATTTTCTTTTTCAGGGCAAGTTATATTAGTCGGCATGTCGATGCTTTCCAGTTTTTTGGACAAAGAATGAAATACTACCTGAACGGTCGACCCTTTAAGTAGTATTACCTAGAAAAGAATCAATAAATATACAATATTGTCCATATATATCAATGTACACCCAAGTTTACCTATTTAGTACCTTTTGTAACCAATTTTGAGTCGGTGGAGTAAAAAAGCAATAAGGTTTGTTTATTTGAGACAGCAAAAAATAAGGAAATTTGTAAAGAAATTGTCCGGAATTTCTATGAATGTATCTATCAAAATATAATACATACACATAATAATGTCAAACAAAACGAATATGGAGTTTGTCATAAAATATCTACTTCCATTTAATATTTGTTCCTTCATTTCCTACGGTAACCATTTTCTTTTACATGGAAGGCAATCAATTAATCCAAAACTAATTAGTTTTTTTTAAAGCCATTTGTATGAAAGATTACTATGTCCCTAATTTTGGCAAAATGTGACATTGAAAACAAATGTCTTTGAGCCAATGCCTACTCATCCTCACGATGTCAATATTTTGTGATTTCGGGTCTCCACACAAACCCTTGACATATGTCGGTATCTAAAAGTTGGGTTAGAAGTCAATTGTTCTTGGTCTAGGACTTGAACCAATCATAAAACAGTTTTATTGAAGGTAAGTGTTGTAAACAAATATAAACTCGTTTTTAAAATGCAATGTGTCAATATTGTAGGATCTTTGACTAGTGAATTTAAATCAAACATCATGATGTCATTTTTAGAAGATCGTCCTCTTACAATCACAAAAGATGTGTTCTGGGGTTGGGTCATTTGAAAACAAATCTTTGAAAAATATATTCTCATTGGTTAGTTTATATTAACCAATTACATCATGTGTAACCGCAAACCGGGTATATTAGTCCTGTCCTGTCTGTCTGGCTGTTTGTCTCTCTGTCTGTTGTCAATTTTAACCTGGCCCATAACTATTGAGTGGGTGGGGTTATGATATTCATATTTCACAAGTATATTTATTGTGACAAGACCTTTCAATGGGTACCTTTAAATTTGACCTCTTGACCTTGGAGTTGGGCCTACGTTTACGAAAAAAATACCACACTTTAACCTAGGTCATAACTTTTGACTAGTTGGAGCTAGGGTTTTTATCCTTCAGGTGTGTATTAATTGTGAAAAGACCTTTCAGCTGGTATAAATATTTTTGACCTTGACCTTAGAGTTTGATCCACTATTTAAAAACTTTAACCTTGGTCACTTTTGAACAGTTAGAAATAGGGCTTTCATATTTCACAGGTGTAGTCCTTGTAACAAGACCTTCCTTTTATTAGATACCAACTTTTGACCTTCACCTTTGGAGTTTTACAGGCATTTGAGAGAATTCAACCCTCGCCATACGCTGTCATAAGGGGGCATCAGTGTTTCACAAACAAATCTTGTTTTATCTTATTAATAAGCAAGCGTAATATATTCTTTGGAAGATATTTTACGCACAATGTCCAACATGGACGTCGGAATGGAAATTTTGTGAACCGACATCGACAAAAAGGGCTGTTTGTAAAAGTTGAAATGTAAAAAAAATAAAGTATCCAGAATAGTTGTAAAATAAATTTAACTAGTGCTAATTGTAACGGGGACCGTAACAGATGTTCCCCAAACGCTCCCCAACTCCCTTTTGATGCCATATTCCCTCTAAGCTTCATTAAAGAAGGCAAACGCTATGCATTTTAGACTTTAACAACGTTTACCCAGAAGTGTACCAAGTTCATTCAAATTTTAGCATTGCACGCGTGCGCACGTGAATGCATGTGCGTAATGACCATATCATCTTGTCTACACATTCTATATATTTTAATATGCTAAATATTAAAGTATTTTATCCAAAAGTATGAAAAAATACACTCATTCAAGTGTATTTTTGAATTTACTCATTTTACGTGCACGCACGTGCATACATGAGCATGGTGACCATACCTTCTTGTAGAAGTCCATTACATCTATCTATGTTCTAAATCCCATCCCGTTTGGTTGAAAACCAAGGGAGTTACAGCTGTTTTAGTTTCAGCCAATCAGATTGCAGCGCACGTACACGCACGTGTATGCATGTGCATGGTGACCATACTTTCTTGTAGAAATCTATTATATCTATCTATGTTCCAAATCCCATTCTGTTTGGTTGAAAACCAAGGGAGTTATAGCTATTTAAAGTTTAAGCCAATCAGAATGCAGCGCACGTGCATGCACGTGTTTTCGTTATAACTGCTATATATCCTGTTATGGGATATCCTAATGCATGGCTATGTTCAAAATTTCAAAGGATTTCGTCAAAAAACAAGAAAGATATTGAGAATTTAGTTTCAGCCAATCAGAGCGAAGCGCACGTGCATGCGCGTGAGATCTTGCTATTTTGACCATGTCATATTGTCTACGCTACTAATATATCCGTATATTATAAGTTTCGAAGCATTTCATCAAAAATGGAAAAAAGTTACGCCTATATCAGTTAAATCGGCCATTTCACGTGTTGACGTGCACGCTCTTGCAAGCACGTGCACGCAAAATGACCTTCGTTCCGCAAATCTACATAACATGCCTACTGACTCTAAAAAGGTTTTACCTAAGTCGGATGTGTAGTTTACAAGATCACTCCCGGACAAAAAAGTACCCAGGAAGAAGAAGATGAAGAACTAGATACGATCTCGTTGCGAGCAACGAGAGGTCTTCCGTCCGATTCACGAAAAAAAAACCTTGTAGAATCGACTGAAAAGTGATTCAAAATTTTGGTCACAAGAAAGATTGAACCCAGGTCGCTAATGTGAATGCGCTTTTTTCTCTTTTATCCACAATGCGCAAACCATTAAGCCATTGGGAGTACTGTTCTAAATATACTTGTGTATACTTTTGCAACAGTACACCTGACTACGAATCAGAAAAGTTGGGGCACTTTTCATAATTTCGCGCTAAACGCCGCGAGTAAATATTCGCGCCTTTTCTTTGGACTGATCTATTAAATAGGTTTTTAGCTTCAATGAAATTAAATAAATAAAACGTTCTTATCGCCTTTATTTTATTTCAACGTTAAGAAAGTATATTTAACACATTACATATCATACCCAGCCCAGTTACACTACAGCAGTGAAACGGAAATTAAGTTTTAAGATTGACACTGAATTGCAACGTACTACTACGTGAAAGTCCAAGTAGTTTTTCATATTTCATGTATCCTTATGTCAGAATGGTTTAATCAAACGCTCAGCTGCCCCCATAAACCCCTACTCGCGAAATGGCGGAGTTGACAGAGACAGCCGCCATCTTGGGTCCGCTTCAGATTTTCAAATATTAATATCTAGAGTTCAGATTACCTAATATTCAAACAACTTATATAGTAAACATCAGTACAAGGGTCTCTATTAACACTCCAAAAATAAATGAAAAATATTGAAAAACAAAAAAGTTAGAAAATACGCTTTTTTCAATTCGCATATCCTAACGACAGGAAGTATTGACGACGAACAAAAGGTCGCGTCCTGGTTAGTATCTATCACGATCTATAATTCCTGAAAGTTTCACATTGATATCTTTTACCGTTCTTGAGATTAACCACAGACAAAATGTCATTTTAAAATCAGGAAATGTCCCATAACTTGGCACCAGATAAGAATTTTCAAAAAATCGCTCAGATAGATCAAGTTCATGTTACGACACATCTTTTCTGAAAATTTCATGTCATTCCATCCAGTATTCTTCGAGAAATCGCGTGCACAAAATTTTGGGAAAAAAATAATAAAAAGAATAATAATAATAACTAGAAACGATCTCGTTGCGAGCAACGAGAGGTCTTCCGTCCGATTCCAAACCCCCCCCCCCCCCAAAAAAAAAACAAAAAAAAACGTAAAATCGAGCTGAAAAAAAAATTGCACACAAAGGGGATTGAACCCAAGTCGCAAGTTTCATGGTTGAGGGAAAAAAATATTGGTTTGTGGGGATAATTGAATTTCATGATTGGAAACTGTTATTAAAGTAAGTGCGGTGAACCCAATTGTCTTCAGACTCCAAATGGTTGATCTATAGGCCCAAGCAGGCGAAATTTTTCGAAGGTGATAAGTTTAGGCCCAGAGAGTTTGTTAACAACTTTTTTGGTGGAAAGGGGGGGGGGGGGGTATTTTGGAATTTTATTATGGAAGTACTGTAGTGAAGAAATATGTTAGGAACACACAGCTTGTGTGTAATATTTTGAGTTTAAATATACACCGAAATAAATCGAGAAACAACGCACGTGTGCAATGAATATACACTTTCTTTTTCAATGGGTGACACTGTAGCTCTCCGGTCTGTCAATATATTTTACCGGAGAGCTACAGTTCTCTCTAGTCCTGGTCTGTCAAGTATGTGTCCAAAATATATATAGATGTAATAAATAATATTTTTGGTATGGCTGTGGGCCCCTATTCTGACCACAAACTGGTCCTTTTTTTCTCAAGAATCCTGAATCTGCCACTGGTGTAGAATTATCGAATGGAGCTGGCTTTTACTTCATTTATTCTATATGAATTTAACTCTTTCCCATGCGATTTCATATTAAGGCATGTTGATATAATCTTTTTCTGCACTTCTATTTACTTCTGCACTCGTTAATCTCCATTGGCGTCGGAAAAAAAGATATTATATAAGTATTGAAATTGGGATTTACTTTTTTTTTTTATTGGTTTAGCCCCCTCACTTTCGATTAGCCCCCCCTTTTAATTTGCTTCCGACGTCCATGTGCAGGCCATTCACAATTTCCCGCATACCGTCAAGAGTAAATCGTGGCGCCTTTTTTTTTCGTTATTGGGAGTACTGCTCTAAATGTACTAGTCTATACTTTTGCAACAGTACACCTGTCTAAAAATTATAGAAGGCACCAAATGCCACGACTAAATCTTCGCTATTAAATAGGTGTGATATCTTCAATGAAATTAAGAAAAAAGAATGTTCTTCTAGCCTTTATTTCGAGGTTTAGAAAATATATTTAACACATTGTACACATTATATAGGTAAGTAACACAAAGGCAGTGAAGTGACTATAATTTAAACCTTTTTTTTTATTTCTCGTTTATCCCCAGAGTGAACTATGCCAATTAGTTACACTTTCACGAAAAGGTTGAAATGGTTCGCCGAAAAACATGATTCACCCTACGTCAAGGTATCAGGTACCATTTATGTTCAATAACTTGAATCATATTTTTGAGAAAAGAATGTTAATATAAACTCCATTAGACGATCTTATTTAAAAAAGGTTTTCTTATTTCTTTCTTTTGTATTAGTTTAATATGACACAAGTGTGCATGGGAAACACAGTGGTTACGTTTCTTGAAAAACTAATAAATTTTGAATACTGCTCTAAATATAGTTGTGTGTATACAGTACACCTGCAACACTACACCTTTCTAAGAATCATAAAAGGCGGGCCACTATTCATAATCTGGCGCCAAACACCACGAGTAAATATTCGTGCCTTTCCTTTGGACTGATCTATCAAAAAGGTGTGATAGCTTCTTATCGCCTTTATTTTATTTCGACATTAAGAAAGTATATTTAACACATTGTACACACGTATCTAGCCCAGTTACACTAAAGCAGTGAAACGGAAATTAAGTTTTAAGATTGACACTGAATTGCAGCGTACTACTACGTGAAAGTCCAAGTAGTTTTTTACATTTCATGTATCCTTATGTCAGAATGGTTTATTCAAACGCTCAGCTGCCTCCATTGACCTCTACTCGCGAAATGGCGGAGTTGACAGAGACAGCCGCCATCTTGGTCCCGCTTCAGATTTTCAAATGTTAATATCTAGAGTTTTGATTTATCAATATTCAAACAAATTATATAGTAAGCATCAATAGAAGGGTCTCTATTAGCATTCCAAAAATAAATAAAAAATATTGAAAAACAAAAAAGTTAGAAAATTCAATTTTTTTGATTCGTTTCTC